TTTTTTGGTATTTAATATTTATTTTTTTCAGAAATAATATTCGGACCGAAAACGGTCTGAATATTATTGGCGCGTCTACACTGTGACTCCCGCCAGAAATATCCGGACCGATACCGGTCCGAATATGTTCATCAGTATATTTTCCCCCACCGGAATATATTCAGACCGATATTGGTTCGAATATTTATTTTTTCGGACCGAAACGTTTCGGTCCGTATATGATCGGTCCGCATACGTCATTTTTCTAGTAGTGTAAGTTAACAAAATCTGTTAACTCTTTGTTAAAATGAAAATAAAATATTTGTAGAATCAATTATCAAAGATTAAAAATATAATAATTTAGTTCTAAATGTTTAAAATTAAAAAAATTAGTAAACTAAAAAAATTAATGGATGACTTTCTCACATATACTAGAATAGTATTAGATATCTGTAATCAAATCGAACGATTAGCTCAATTTAAAAAAAGAATTCTGATTGAGATTAAAATAAATTTATTGGTTGAATTAAATAGAGAATTTAAGAGATCAAAAGAGTATAATCAAGAAATTTTTTTTAATCTCCATCAGATTTATTTCTTTAGATTGAGCTAATTATTTAATTTAATTGCAGATATCTAATATTGTTCTCGTGTATGTGACAAAGTCATCCACTAATTATTTTTAATTTACTAATTTTTTGTTTTTAATTTTTTGGAACTAAATTAATATATTTTTAATCTTTAAGGACTGATTATGTAAATATTTTATTCTCATCTTAACAGAGAGTTGATGGATTCCATTAGTTTAGAGGCTAAAATCTTCAAACCTTTAAGTTTATCGGTTAAAAATTTCATAATATAAAGTAAAGGATTAAAAGCTTCAAATTTAATAAAGGGACTAAATTTATACTTTTGCCTAAAAATCTTATCATATAATTGAGTGCTTTAGATCATGACTCTCATGGTGTGTTTGGTATTGTGATTGAGAGTTTTTTCGTATAGTCATATACTACTTTTAAATATTTATGTATTTGGTAATTTTTTTTATATTGCTTTTTTAAAAACTACAGAAAACCATGACAAAACTACAATAATTTTATATATAAAGTCAGATAAGTATCGTTTTAAAACTTTCTGACTGTGACTTTTACAGAGAACACCTAATATTTAATATAATTACAAAGTTACCCATTAAAATCCAATTTCCTATAATTTAATTACATTATAATTTATAATATTTTAATCATGATAACAAATATAAAAAAGGTTAAACGCCCAATTTGGTCCCTGAACTATTATACGGACCCCCCATTTGGTTCCTACTATTTACCAATTTGTTCCAAATTAGTCCTTCCGTACAAAAAAAACTGACATGTCTGTTATTTAACGGTCACGTGTCACATTAATAACAAGACACGTAAGTTATTTTTTTGTACAGAAAGACCAACTTAGGATAAATTGATAAACATTATGGACCAAATTGAAGGTCCATAATATAGTTTAGGGACTAAATTGGGGATTTAACCTGTAAAAAATCTAAATTATTAAAAAATAGTAAATATTATCTATTTTAATGATTATATATTTTATAATATGTTTTAAATTTTAATTAATAATTAATAAAATCTACCATATTTCATCTATAATACTTTTAAAAAATAAATAACAAAACACCAAAATAACTAACAAAACACCAAAATATAGTATACCAAAGTTCAATATAATCACAACCACAATTATAGTCACAGCACTTCACAACAATTTCAAACGCACCCTCAATCCTCAATCATAAGGGTGGACACATTTCGAATATTACCGTAATATCTAAATTTTTTATCTAAATTTTGGTTTGAATAATTTAAATAATTGGGTAAATTTGAATAAAATTGAAATGACTAAATATGATTTCAATTTGAATATGATTATTAACTCATATTTGAAATTATTAATATGAATTATTAAATTATTTGAAAATTTTTTAATATCAAATAATTATATAATTTTGGATAAAAAATTTTTTAGGTTAAATTTATAGATAGGAATATAAAAAAAATGCAAATAATCAAAAGGCAAAATACCCAAATCCACCCCCGAAGTTAGGCAACAGGGACGGATCTACCCCCGAACAAAAAACGAAGACAAATCCACCTATAAAGTTTTCGATTTGAACAAATAATCCATTAGGTTAAACCCCCATTTTGGTCCCTCAACTATTGTACGGACCCCTGACTTAGTCCCTCAACTCAAAATATCCTTGATTTTGGTCCCTACTGTTTACCATTTTTACCCCAATTTAGTCCCTTCGTTAAAAATCTAGTGAC